CCCCCGCAGCCCTGACCCCCAGCTCCGAACCCAGCCCCTCTGAGCCGGGCACCCCCCGACCTCATCCCCCCCACAGCCCTGACCCCTAGCTCCAACCCCATCCCCCGCAGCCCTGACCCCCAGCTACGAGCCCAGTCCCTCTGAGCCGGGCACCGCCCGTCCCCATCCCCATCCCCCCACAGCCCTGACCCCCAGCTCTGAGCTCAGCCCCTGTGAGCCAGGCACCCCCCAACCCAGAGCCCAGCTCCCCACCCTGCCCTGGGCAACAGCAGTGCCACCCCCAGGCAGCGACAGCCGATTGACACCAACCATCACTATCACCTAGCGACAGCCCATTATGTAATTGCAAATGTATATATACTATTAAAGCATTTAATGTTCTTAAAGAATATATTTCATGTAATTTCAAATTATTAAAAATTAATTTTTGAATGTATTTCACTGGTTATTTTTTTACATTTCCAAATACATGTTACTATAGTATTGCAAGACTTCCCTTTAGTGCCCCCCCCCCCAGTAGAGGATGCAGAGGTGCAAAGGGTTGCCTATTCAGCCCTCTCACACCAGCTCCCATTTAGGGGAATAACCTGGCCCTAATTGGGGAAGCAGAGACAGCTGTCACCTAATTAGCTTGAGGCTGTATAAAAGCTTCAGGGGAAGGAAGCCAAAGGGAAAAAGCAGGAGTGGAAGTAGGGACCTCCCTTCTGTCCTTACTTACTGCAGATAGTGAAGAACCAACTGTACATAGTGAAAAGTGGTAGGAACAAGTCTGTGAATAAACTGCATCAGTGGTTATTAACCCCAGGGCTTCAGAGTGACTTTGTGGACCTAGCAGGAGCCAAGGGGGCCCCTGCTGCACTCTGCTACAAGCAGGTTTAAAACAAACATAAGGAAGTACTTCACAGAATGCACAGTCAACCTCATTGCTAGTGGATGTTGTGAAGGCCAAAAGTATAACATGGAAGTAATGGGCCACTCTCTTACCACTTCAGAAGTTATTTTTCCGCCCTTGGTATCCTGCTGTTAATTGATTTATCTTGTTAGACTGACCTCACACTTGGTAAAGCAACCCCCATCCTTTCATGTATTTATACCTGCTCCTGTATTTTTCACTTCATGCATCCGATGAAGTGGGTTCTAGCCCACAAAAGCTTATGCCCAAATAAATTTGTTAGTCTCTAAGGTGCCACAAGTACTCCTGGTTGTTTTTGCTGATACAGACTAACACAGAAAGTGGGTGAGGTAATATCTTTTATTGGACCACTTCTGTTGGTGAGAGAGACAAGCTTTGGAGCTTACACAGGGCTCGCCTTCAGATGTAAAATTTTCACAGAGCAGATTAGGATATAGTCAGCCATATGAAAAAGACATTTCTTTGTATTCCCTAATTCTCTTAATGCTTACGCTGAGAAACTCTTCACTTGTGAGCAATGTTGACTATCAGGCTATGTCCATTGCACTATACCATGTTCTGTCTTAACTGCAGCAATCACAATTATGTTTAAAAACTCTCATTGAGTTCAGTGGACGAGGCCCCAGAATAGCAGAAAAACATGAAATGACCAATTTTCTTATCTTTTTCTTTTTACGCATCATATTGGGTTAATCCAAACGAATTTTCACAAAATTTGTTGGCTGTAAGATAACTGGTATAATCAAAGTAATTAGACTCTGTGTGACACAAGCATATTTCTATCTGTTTAATCCAATTTAGATAAATTTAAAATGAATGCACCCTGTACTTGTTCTGAGCGACTTCTTGCAATTATACTTGCTTCAGTCAGTCAGTCATTCTTTAATTCAGACACACAAATTACAGACCATTTGTGAAGATTGTCTGCGAGTGACCAATGTCTAATTGAATTTATTATTTTACTCTTGCATTGTAAATATACCTGCAGTCTGGGATGAGCATAGAACTCATTTAAGAAATCCATAAGCAAGTCAATCTTCAGGGAGCTGACACACAGTACCACATGTTTCTCTGTCTGAGCTCTGTGTCGACTGTAGTTACCCCCAGACTTCTGTCTCTCCATCCACAAATAAGCCAGCTGTTCAAACTGCAATATATTGTCAAATGTGAATGAAATACATATAAGCAGCTGTGCAATATACGCATCTTTATCAGTATGAGTTAATTATATTTTATGCTTTAGTCCATCCATTCATTGAATTAAAGACACACTTAGAACCCCCACCCTTTGTCTTTGTTTCTTTCCAAGAGCAGCAATTTACAACTAAGCAGATGGGATGGCTGATGGGATGGCACAATAATACATCAATAGGCCAATCTCAAGCATTCAAAAATCATAAAGTTGAGTTAAATCATGAGATTATTTTAAATGTATTTTTTTCCTGGTATTTGAGTCTTTAGGGTTAATTTGTAATTTACACGACTCCAAGAGATGGGACTGCAAGAAAAACACCAATGTATTACTTATGTATAATGGAACAATGCCTCAGTTTCTCCCCAGAGATTTTTAAAAATCTAAAGTTGGCAACTCTTGATACAATGAAGTCTGCATATTATTTCTTACTGTCTGATCTGCACCTTAAATATTGGCATCACTTAAACATATGGCTAAAAGAAACATCATGTTCTGTCCCTGCTGCTCCTGGAGAACTGCTGGTTTTTTGGTATTGACTATGGCAGCTGTTGAACTGGACTTCAATAAGTGGCACTTTTCCCTCTACCACCTTAATCAGCATCCCCCGATTCACAATAAATTCTGCTTTGAGATCCTAATAAAGGGAACTCTAGGGATCAATATGATATGCAATGTACCTGGAATAATTTAAATACATAAAAGCATTACTTCAATGGAGTAATGTCCACATGTTTTATATACAATTAGTACCAATAAACCACCATGCATATACCATTTCAACTTCGAAGCTCCATACAAGCTAGCTAATGTTCACAACAATCCAATGAGACTGGAGTGTTTTCTTATCCGCATTCTACTGAGGCAGGGATGTTAAGTGATTCAGTGTCAGAGCAATGATAAGAGCTGGCCCCCAGTCCTGTGCTCAGACCAGTACACAAAGCCCTTTTCTCCCCTTGAGGTGTTACTCTGAAGCGGAAAATGCTAGGAATAGCTAAGTGTTTGGAGAAAGCTTTAGCTGCTTGTTAGTTTTGCTGCTATTATTTAAGTTCACAATAAAGGTAAATCCCAGCATGAGGGTAAATTTGGACAACACACAGTGTCTGTATGTTCTTTGGTGTCTGATGGGAGCCAGCAGCTTCTACGAGGATTTGAAAACTTGTTAGCTCCTCTCATTTTAGCATATATAAACCATATGCACATTTATTTTACAAACAAGGAAACAAATAAGAAAGCTCCAACTCTGCATAAAATGAAGAAGCATACAAGTTGGTGTACTCTTTTTTTTTTTTTTTTTTTTGACATTACATACACAGTAAGGACAGTTGCAAGATATATTTCAAGATAATACAGTCTTTTCCCCAACTCTTCCAAATGGAAAACAATCAGAGTTTACCTGTATGGGCAACACCACAAGGGCAACACAGATCATAATGACAACCAGCAGTTTTGAAGGCCAGATCTTGGGTGTAACATCCCCAAAGCCCACAGTGGAAAATGTCACTATGCAGAAATAAAGGGAGTCAAAGAGAGTCAACTTGTTTCCTGCTCGCTCCAGATGCTGAATTCCGCAAATACTATGTAAAAAAGAATGAATAAAGAAATTAAAAATAAAACTAGTACCTGGAATAAATCCAAAGTGTTATGACTCTCTTACTAGCAAGGAGAATTATTTTCTGCAAATGTATATATTACTTCGCAAAGAAGAGAAAATGTTGGTTCAAAGCAAAAGTCTTTTAAAAATTGTATTTAAATGTCATTTATTCATAATAAAGTTCTAACTGTTATCTTGGAATAAGGATAAAATGATAGTTAATTATGCATTGTGTTTTAAAAATATCAGTTTTAAATTTGTTGCCTTTCAATTTAATTTAATATCCCCTTGCTATTGTATTATAAGAACAAATAAATGGGAGCACATCTTACCTTTATAAAATGTATCTAAGGATACAAACTTTAAAGCCAGATTCTACTACCCTGACTCATGCTGAGTACCTGACTGTATGAGTAGTCCAACTGAACTCAACAGGTCTACATGTGGAATATGGTTCTACTAATTGTAAGTAAGAATGACAGAACCTGGTCCTTAGGTTTGTTTGTTTTTCAGTTTACTTTCATATTGATTTGGGTGCCTTTAAAATGTCTGAAAGATTTCTACTGGTTACAATGAGCTTCCCAAGTTCAAAGATAGGGATTATCTGTGAATTTAGCAGAATCCTTTACACCAGTGGAAAGTTCTTTAACTGCACCTGCTGTACAGAGCATCTCTGAGCTTGCATATTAGTGATCCCATCCTCCTAGGAGGCTGTTGACTGTCTTTCTGTTTTAAAGGTAATTTCTAAATAATGCCATATTTCTCAGTCATAATTCTACTGTACATCAAAGATGATTTCTTGGCATAGGATATCTAATTGGCCACAATTGACCATTAAGAACTCCCAGGTAAAAAACCTTTAATCATCAGGCAGGCCCTGTGTTTATAACAATGTTAGCAGTTCTTCTTCTGTTCTCCAGAAATAATTTACTAGTGGGCAGTAGCATTTCCATAACATATGGATGAGATCCCCAGTTTCCTCTTCACTGTTCTAGCATTTGTAGTTTTCACACATCCCAAAATGTTCTGAAGATGATTTTTTGTTGGATAAGTTTCAACCTTCAGTCATTGGCTGCATTTGTATTCCTACACACTTTGTTCCAGATTTTTTCACTGAGGTGGTAGTTCAGATCTTTCCTCCATACTCTCATTAGTTTGTCCCTTTTAAGTTTTAATTATAGAAAAGAATTCTTGAAGCAGTAGTTTTCTGTCTTTATAATAGGTTCTGAAAAGTTAATAAAGGGAACTGTGGAAATGCCATTCCAGTGAAGATGGATAGTCAACTTTCCAACCGTAGATCAATTATAAGTTTTAATCATAGACTGTTTTTCAGGCTATTTGGGTCAGGCTACTTTTCAGTGTTATTTTTAAATACTGGAGTACGCAGAGAGAGATCCATTCATGGAAATATTATAATGTTAAAAACATTGCTCTCTTACTTTGCATATGTCTTGGCATCCACAGTGTGATTTAAAGCTCTTTGCTTTTAGAATTGACCACTCCAAGGCTTTGCTGTTATCGAATGAAGTTCACCAGGTGCTGAAAAATCCTACACTATTCCTTGTGCATTTTTTAAGCCTGATAGTGGGGCTTGACCTTGGCCTCAGAGAGAGAAGCATCAAAAGGGCTGTGTGATTAGCACTTATACAGACCTAGTGGCCCATACCTTACCACGTAGAGGTATACTAGAGCTATAGCTTCTACTCCAGCCCATAGGCTAGAATGAATGTTTGTTGATTGCCTGTGTTGCAGCTCCACTATGGAGAGCTATATATGCCATCTGGTTCTGAAAGAGTTAATTGGAATGGGAGAGTCCAGTTAACCCCCCTAGTCACACCGGAGGCTGGGCCAGGTTCAGTTTAGGGTGAGACTGAGCTGAGGAGGAAGTGGGTGGTGATTATAAAGCCAAGAAACTGGGAGCAGAAGGAGACTATACGGAGAAAAGTAAGGAACTCTGCTGTCCCTCTCTTGGCACTAGCAAATGTAGTGACTGGGAGGATCAAGGAGAAAGTCCAGGGTAAAGTAGGTCCTTACATCCTCTTTTGAGTAGGGAAGTCTGTCAGGAGGCCAGGAGAGACAAGGAGAAGCTGCTGGGGTAGAACAAACTCTGATGATGAACCCTGATAAAAGAACAGGATTGGGACTTCTAGGGAGAGAGTCCTGGTAGGTGTTCAGTGGAGACCAGAGCAGGGGAACTTAAGAAGCATCAAAGGTTAATCCTAAAGAGGGCAGAAATTGGTTTATTTGTACTTTTGGTTTGGGGATTTTGTTGGGGGATTTCAGTGGAGAGCTCTGCTGACAGGCTACAATAAGAAGAAATCCAGGGTGGCAGCAGAAAGGTGTCCAACAGAGCAGACTTTAGCTGCTAGTTATAGGGGTCCTCAACTGGAATCCAGTGTAATGGCAGGGCTTGGGTTTTCCTTCCAGCTACTGGGGAAGGTGGTATGTAATCCTGGCATAAAAGAATGACTTCTGAGAGCCCTGAGATGCAAGGATCACTGGGTTGAGAGCTGGGGTGAAGACTTAATGTAAGGACATTGGACTCATGTTGTGTCGGACTTCATTATCCCAGAAGGAGTAGAATTAAAAGGTTATCTGGCCACAGGGCCGAGTTGTGATAAAAGACAGACCAGCACAGGATTGGTGGGAGCACTATAGGAAAGAACTGCTATGCTATGCCACACTCAGCCACAAGGGAGGGCGCTAGTGGTGAAGGTGCTCTTCAACAGCCATGGATTGCTTTTGAATTCTGGTGGTGGCATACAATTGTCTATGACAGTTATTCAGTGTTTTTCAATGGAAAGGCTAAAAATCACCCTTTCTGCTTTCATTAACTGACCATATGCACTAAAGTGAAAGTTCTAGAACATCTTTAAGATTGTGAATTTTTTTTTTTTTTTAAGACTCTCGTTTTTGTGAAGGCAATATTTTCTTGCTCCTCCCTGTAAGAGTCCCACTAACAATCAATTTTTTAGAAATACTTCAGATAGGAAGACCTGGATCTTGGTAAGAGGTTTTACTGTATTAACATTATACTGTAATGAATTTTAGTTGTCCCATCTGCCCAAATCAATTATCTTGACTGAGCTTAATGTAGTGGGGTGCTTACCCACTCCTGTCCTGAGGGGTTTAAAACAGCCCTGGAGGAGGGCTGTAGAAGGGCAAAAGGCCTGGCTGATTAGGAGGAAGCAGGCTCAGCTGGGGCCACGCCCCAATCAGGGCCCAGCTGGCCCTATAAAGGCTTGAGCCAGGCGCTCAAGTAGACAGTCTCTCTCTGCGTTCAGAGAGAGAAGGGCCTGGCTGCAGGGAGCTTAACCAGGTATCTGGAGTGGAGCAGGGCTGGGGAAAGGCCAAGGGAGCTGGGGAGCTCCGGCCTAGGAAAGCCCCAGACTGCAGGCCTGGTAAGGCCTATTAGGTACTGGGTTGCAGGGGGCAGCCCAAGGGTAGCCAGAGGCAGCAGGTCCAAACCCCTTTGCCTGTGATGAGTGGCTTATACACTGCAGTCTGCCCCAGTGAATGGGGGCTAGATGAGGACTGGCAGTAGCCAAGACTGAGGTGAAGTGGGGATAGTGGGTGGGGGGACCCTGAGACTAAGGGGTTACTGTCAAGGGAACAGCACCCCAGAGAAAGGGGCACCGGGTCCGGGAGGGACACGGGGGCCAGCAGTAAGGTGGATCTCCGGCCTGCAGAGGGCGCTCCTGGCTGGAAAATGAGCTAATTCCCAAGGACAACCAACAGGAGGTGCCGCAGGGGTGAGTCCACACCCTTACACTTAACCACAATCAAGAATACACTCGCTGAAATTCTTGTCCCATTGAAATCAATAAGAATTTTGCCATTGACTTCAATGGGGCAAACATTTCACCTTCTGTCTCCAATCATAGCATTTTATCAGAACACCAGACATTCCCTCAAGCTATCATAATTATTTTGGCCCAAGTCCTCAAAGGTATTTAGGAGACTAAGAGCTTAACTCCCATTGATTAAATACTTTTTGAGGATCTGGGTCTTTGTGCCTAATCCAATGCCCACTAGCCTGAAGGGGAAATCCAAAGCAGTCTTTGGATCAGGCTTTTTGAGCGCTCTTGTGAGCTGTCCGGTGCCCTCAAGTCTCACTGAAGTCAATGGGAGTTGACTGTGCATAGCACCTTGAAGGATCAAGCTCTTTAGACCTAATATCAAACACTAATAGAGTTCTGCACTCTATTAACCTTCAGTGTCACCTAATCATGCATCAATCCTGGGCCCCAAAATTAAATCAATGCAAAAGGAGGTAACATTAAACTTTCAAACCCTCCTGAAGCAAGAAAAAATTTACTGTTGTGGTTGGAATTGCCTTAGTTTTGCTACAAACCAGAAAAGTTGCTCACAGCATTGCAGTACAGCTGACTTTCAATAGATGGCTTTGTGGGTATATAACTGCCAACAAAATTTGTCTATTTCCTCACATATTCCTCCATCACAAATATTATCCTTTAGTTTTTCATCTAGTACATCTGAATAAATATATCTCATGCCATGTCCTTATCTAATCAGGTTATCTTGGTTTGCTACACTTCTGGGAGGGCATAGTGGGAGCTAGTGGTTGACTATGATACCGAAATCTGTAAGAGGCTTAATTACTCAGGTTTCCAAAATGTACTTATATACCTTGATGCTACCTGAGTGCTTTATGCAACTAATACTTCCAAAAAGTGTCCTGTTTTTCTTACTATACAATTTTAATATTAAGCATTGTTTCAGAAGATAAAAAGGGATAATTTTCAGCTTATCATATCAGTGTTCTACTTCCTTTTATACATTTAAACATAATACATCAAGCTACATCTTCATAATGGTTTTTAACTTTTACCACTGAAAAAGATTAACATGAACAGTAGCATCATAATACTCAGTTTTGCTGGTCCAAGACAAACAATAATGAAGAAATCCCTGGCCGGGTCTACTGGTCTTAACAGAACAATCATGAAGCAAAAGATTATT